AATCCAAAAACTGTTTATCAGGGCTGGTGCCAGGCCAAAGCGCTACTTTTAAATTTTAAAAACCTTTCAGAACAACATACCAGTATGTACATAGAGAGAATTCAAGCTCCATGTAGATCTGAATTGTGGAAAAAAACTTCAAAATGGCACTATCAATGGCATAATGATTAAAGTCTAAATAATAAGAAATTGTTGATGGAAATCAGAACCTGAAATGTTCATATGGTTCAGTAGATTCTATGTTTCCTTATGACAGATGATATACTTGGTTAGAAATTAAGCTCAATGTGGAGTTAAACAATTAACTCTAAACATGACACAAGTTATCAATTAAAGTCCAGTTAACAGTAGTAAACTGCAGGTGAAAATAAGAATTTGTAATGTGTATTTAGATGGTTAAGTAGATTCTATGTTTCTTTATTACAAATTATTTACTCAATAATCAAGCTCAATGCAGAGTTAACGTGTGTTGGAATGGCCATAGAGATATAAAAACATTCCAAATTTGCTTTATGATGACAACTTATAAAAGTTCCGAGCTAACCAGAAATTTAACATGCTGCAATTTATCAAAGAATTCCAGTTAACAGTATTTAAACTGTATGTGAAAATCTGTTTGGATGGTCAAATATAGATATGCTATGTTTTGTTATGATTGCTTTTTGTATTTGATGAGAAATTAACCTTTAAACTTCAACAAGGTATGGAGTGTTACACAAACATTGAATATTTTTTCTACTGTTTATTGACATCTCATTTCAATTATCTTAACCATCTGACACGTATGACTTAGATGTGTGAAAACTGCAGCCATGGACTCGTATATGCAGTCAACTACACCACCACTTCTCCAAAGGAATTTGGATCATGTGGTGCCACAGATCAACTCATCATCATGATTCAATCGCCTTATATGCGAGAATCCTACAACTGCAATCCTCACCATATTTTCAGAACAAGATCTGCTTTTGAATTGGCTTTACCAACAAGAAATACTATTTTTACTTACCCACGTGCTTGTAGACCGGCTCGAAAAGACGTTTCAGGACTTTCGGAATTTTTAAATTTCGTTCGGGGAGAAGGATGGCTCGGGATTATAACAATTACTTTCAAGGTATGTTTATTCCTGCTTTCAGGAGTGTTCTGATGGGTAGGCTTGAAATTTATTTGTATGAATGAAATGGTAACCGCATGTGAAATTAAGCGAAAAATATTTGGTAAGTATTGTAAACTGTAAAGTACATTTTGACTCGAAAAAATACGAAACTAAAGAATAATACTAAAAGCTGACTAGAAAATGCACAGCTGCAGAATGTCACACTCCACTAAATAAACCCATATTTATCTCCCCTTCAACATGAATCGACAACACTACATAACCCCTATTTATCTCCCCTTCAACATGTTTATATACCCTTAAACATGTTCATCACCCCTGCAACATATTTATCTACCCTTCAACATAGATTTACTACAATACACTAAAACATTTGATCTCCCCTTCAACATGTTTATCTCCCTTCAGCATGGATCGACAACACTACACAAGCCATATTTATCTTCCTTCAACATATCTATCTCTCCTTCAACATGTTTATCACCCTTCAGCATGGATCGACAACACTACACAAGCCATATTTATCTTCCTTCAACATATCTATCTCTCCTTCAACATGTTTATCTCCCTTCAGCATGGATCGACAACACTACACAAGCCATATTTATCTTCCTTCAACATATCTATCTCTCCTTCAACATGTTTATCTCCCTTCAGCATGGATCGACAACACTAAATAATCCATATTTATCTTCCTTCAACATATCTATCTCTCCTTCAACATGTTTATCTCCCTTCTTCACAACACTAAATAATCCATATTTATCCCTTCAACATATCTATCTCTCCTTCAACATGTTTATCTCCCTTCAGCATGGATCGACAACACTACACAAGCCATATTTATCTCCCCTTCAGCATATTTGTCTCCCCTTCAACATGTTTATCCCCTCTTCAGCGTGGATCGACAACACTACACAAGCCATATTTATCTCCCCTTCAGCATATCTATCTCCCCTTCAACATGTTTATCCCCACTTCAGCATGGATCGACAACACTACACAAGCCATATTTATCTCCCCTTCAGCATATTTGTCTCCCCTTCAACATGTTTATCCCCTCTTCAGCGTGGATCGACAACACTACACAAGCCATATTTATCTCCCCTTCAGCATATTTGTCTCCCCTTCAACATGTTTATCCCCTCTTCAGCGTGGATCGACAACACTACACAAGCCATATTTATCTCCCCTTCAGCATATCTATCTCCCCTTCAACATGTTTATCCCCACTTCAGCATGGATCGACAAAACCAAATAACCCATATGCATTTCCCCTTCAACATGTTTATCTTACCTTCAACACTACACTACACTACAGTACAGAACACCTCTTGATCTCCCCTACACATTGATCCACAACACAACAGTTTTGTAATCGTCGTTGTTAATGTCATCGCCTATACACTCACTATTGCCCTGTGTAAATGTTTTTTTTTTCTATTATAATTTCTGGATAACAATTATGCTTGTACTATATGTACTTAGAAACATGTAGTGGTAAGTCATCAGTCGGTCTACCAGAATGTCGTTAATACCTATCATAGACAAAGATAATAGCACCACCAAAAACTGATCTCTAGAGTTAATTTAGTATATATCACAACATCCTAAAATCGTCTTGGTATTGTATGAAACATGTTCGTATATTTGACATGTGTGAACAGATCTGATTCTTTGATGAAAGACACCTGACTCAAATATCAAATTCGACAAGGCTTTGGACGGTACTGAGCTGTATGTATCCATTTGATTTAAAACCTTATTTTCATAATGTTGAAATCAATGGAGGAAATGTCAATGTTAATTTTAACTAATAATATGTAAACACACCAGATATTTTTATCATTTTAAAATATTTATAAATTGTAAAATAGGACATTTTCATTCCCAAAATATCCACATGGGGTTAGAGGGAAACTCGTTTGATACATTACAGTACTTTTGATTCACTGTAACTAGAGTGATTAGAAGCCATAAAATCTGAAAACGATATCCATATGTTTGGTCTAAATGTCCATAATGATATTTAACTATATCCCATATAATTATTGATGTGATGAGGTGTCCCCTATTTGGTCTATAAAGTGTAATGAATGTTGACGATCATCAACATCATTTAAGTAACACCACCTAAGTCACGCTTTTTGGAATTTTCGCCGCAGGCTGTATGGTAACGGGTTTTGAGAGTTACCTCCCTTCTGCTACAACAATTTTCTTTGTTAGACTCCTATATGATATCTTTGTTGTTCTTTAAGTAACGACATTTTAACATATTACACTCTGTTGTATTGTGTTGTTTTTTTGTGTTGTATTTGGTTGTATTGTGTTGTGTTGTGCTGTGTTGCATGTGTTGTATTGTGCAGTGTTATGCTGTGTTGTGTCATGTTGTCCTGTGTTGTGTTGTGCTATGATGTGCTGTATTGTGTTGTGTCATGTTGTGCTGTGTTGTGTTGTGCTATGGTGTGCTGTATTGTGTTGTGTTGTGATGTGTTGATGTGCTGTGTTGTGCTGTGCTGTATCGTAATTAAGATTGTGCAACGCAGACCAATCAAGATTTATGCGAGAATGTACAATGTACCATTGTCAAAAAGGTTACAGGTACAAAAACTAAAACTTATCCTACAAAAGGACGTTGTAGAATATTATTGCACTATTTACAATGTAATATAATTCATGGATAATGCTGTAAAGCATTTTGCAGTTTGATAAAGTTATGGGGATATGTGGCATTGAGAAAACCCAGGACAGTACAAAATGATGTTTTCACAACAATCATATGACATCAGTGAGACGCAACCATTTTGCTATCAGGCCTACAAAACGTTGGGTCAGCCTTCTAGAAAAGGGTAGTATTATCCTCCAACTTAGATTTAAAAAAAAAGCCATTGGATGAAGCATGGAAAATCGAGGTAAGTATTAATGTTATAAAGCTGCTGTGGTAGGATGTGAACGTTAGAAAATTAAGTATGGTAAATAGAGTCCGCAGAAGGGAAAACATTGTAGTTGCTGATAACGGAAAACAGCTTTAAATATTATATTGTATTGTATTGTATTGCATTGTATTGTGTTGTATGGTATTGTGTTATATTGAACTATGTTGTACAATGTATTGTATTGAACTGTATTGTGTTGTGTTGTATTGTATTGAACTGTATTGTATTGTATTGTGTTATGTTGTGTTGTATTGTATTGTGTTGTATTGAACTATGTTGTATTGAACTGTATTGTGTTGTGTTGTATTGTGTAGTATTGTGTTATATTTTGTTGTATTGTATTGCATATTGTATTGTATTTGTTGTATTATGCTGTGCTGTACTATGCTGTATTGAATTGTATAGTGTTGTATTGTATAATGCATTGTATTGTGTTGTATATTGCACTGTATTGTGTTGTGTTGTATATTGCATTGTGTTGTATATTGCACTGTATTGTGTTGTGTTGTATATTGCATTGTGTTGTATATTGCACTGTATTGTGTTGTGTTGTGTAGTATTGTGTTATATTTTGTTGTATTGTACTGTATTTGTTGTATTGTGTTGTGCTGTACTATACTGTATTAAATTGTATAATTAATGTTTTGTTAAATGTATTCTATTGTGTTGTATTGTATTTTTTCATATTGTATGGTGTTTTGTATTGTATATTTGTTGTAATGTGTTGTATTATATATTGTAATGTATCTGTTCGTCGCCGTTGTTTTGCACCGTGTTATTGATATCTGTTGTATGTAACAATACACAGAACTCAAAATTGGTATTCTAACCGTGGATTACTTTACACTGAGTAAACAAATAAGCCTAAATGACGGTTCTGAATCCCGCTGAGTCAGGACTTGTATATTCCTATGAAATAAGAACAAAACAGAAAACAAAAACATAGATGCGGTTTTTTTTAAAAGTTTATCTCATCTCCTTGTCAGTACATATATAGTCGCATCCTAGCCTACGAATAACTAACTCTGTATTGCTAGTATGGTTGTCTTTATACAAATTGCAACATCATACAAATAAACATATATACACATAAACATAATTAGCTACGTCATGGATATTTACATAAATCATGAACATCTGTTGTATAAGCAATTAATTTCTATGCAAGTCTCACACAGGGGAGGTTTAGCACCACGTGATACAGAGGGATCCTACAGGGATACTTGTGTATTTGGTTCCTTCTTTTAATAGTATAAAGTATTATGTTTATTAATGATCACTTCTACTGTTACTCTTTTTCCGGACGAATTGCTTCTCATAGATTCATGTCTTTCCGTAATTCGATTCAGATTAATTTCATTCTTTGAATGATTAATCATGAAATTATGTTCGCAAACGATCATTATAAATCATGAAACGAACCAGACCTTGGATATCATACTCGCTCGTCTTAAAATCCATCTGAAAACTTTCCGTACGTTTTTCAATTGATTTTCTTTTTGTAAATCAATGCATTGGAATGGCACAACAAATAAGAACTAACGACAATTCGGCTGTGTCTTAGTACAGCACGGCACAACACAATTCAATCACACATACATGTATATGACGAACAAGATTTCCGAAAGGTAGCAGGTAAGGGGTTAGATTTTATTTTAAGATATTCCATTTGCACAAGTTATCAAATTCAAGGGGTTCCAATATTGTCGTAAACGAGATACCAGTACTTATATACCATTTTTCACATTTTCAGTTTATTCTATGAAAAATTCTTAGGAAATTTATATTTTAAAAAAGACAAGGATATTCCGCCTCACTTATATTAATGTCACATCATGCTACCTGTCATGACGAGACGTTGCCATAATTTTCGAAGTCAATCATAAATGAATGAAAAAAATCTTTCAGTGAATACTTTTTTTCTAATTGGCTGAGTCATGTCATTGTATTTTGGTTTTGGTAGAAATCAGCATTTTAAAACAAATAAATATTTTTAAACTAAAATTCAATCGTTCTGGTTTATCTTCTACTGTGTATTGAGTAAACGTTGTAAATATCACATCCTAATCCTTCATAACTTACGCTCTCTGGTGATCATGTTATTCTAGATAATGACTGATAATGAACAATATGCCTTAAATTGAGGTTGACACGTTCATCCTCTTCTTTCTCCTTTGTATGCGCAGATAATTGTTGACGTCAGTGGTTGGATGTGTTGATCTTTGCCATCTATCTAGCCTTGTTCTAAAAAAGAACACAATAATAAAAAAAATTAATCAAAGTGAAAATGGCACAGGAATAGGTTTCTCTTTGTATCATAAATCTTTCTTATTTCGTTAATCCTTTTTCTTGCGATCGATGTTATTTTCGTAGCTTACCGAAACTATCTTTTTAGTCGATTTTATACTTAAAATAAGCATTTAAACGATCTATTAACACTGTATCAAGTTTTTCTTGAGTCTAAAAAAATAAAAAATCTGGACAATGTTCTGACTCTCGATGAATAGAGAAATGATCAAAATAAATGTGTATATTTTTAGTGTATTTTGGTAGGAAACCCTTCATCATCCATGTAACTTAGAAATATTATTTTATGCATATTAGGGGTAAACTATTTGCCCTATCACTTTTAAATTCAAAGGAAAGAAAACGGAGAAAAGAAAGGTTTGCGTGCAATTATATATCTTTTCTTCTGTGTTCTATAAACGAATATTATCACCACAGTCATTTCTCTGGAAATCCGAGTTTATTTCAAGGCCACTAATGTTTTGATCAGAGTCATAAAGACAATTACGTTTATAGTGAGGGAAATGCTTTAAGGTATAAAATGTGTAACGATATCGTTGTACACACGGGACTGTCATCTCTCAGTGTTATGTACGGAACGGTTTCAGCAAAGGTAATGATCAATTACTTTGTAAACATCAATTCAATCAAAACACTGTGTTCGTAATAGCAATAACAGATGCTTTGTTCTATAAATGTTCGGCGTGCACTCACGTGACACGGATCAATCTGCAATTTGGCATTATCTAAAGACGCTGGTTAATTAAACACATGTGCATGTCCTAATGGAGATGGAGATGACAGGTGGGTATGTTTTAAGAAACATACTGAACTCAAGTTATACAGTGATGTGTCGTCTTTGAAGTAGTATTTGTTTTTCAAGACTAAACGCCATCATTGTAAATGACAAGAGAAGATTCGGGTGTGCGCTGTGAAGCCCATATCTGCGATAGAGGGAGATAACTCGTACAAGTTTAGATTAATGATGAATGACGAGAGCAAAATTGTTCAGTAGATTGTGGAAAACGCACTTTTTCACTTTGTTAAATCAATAATGAAAAGCAACAATATTTCGATATTTCAGCAAGCGACAAACGTGCTTCTACAAAACCGTGAGCTAGGATTGAATACAAATTATTTTCTTTCTACCATTCCCCATGCTATTTATCAAATACAATGTAAATACAAATTTACTTATTTATCTAATGGGCTTTACGTCCACTATTACGGTAATACTAGTAGAACCTCATACTATAATATAATAGACGGAAATACGTTTAAATTAACTTGGTGCCACGTAAAATGTCATAATACTGTCACACTCTTTAAACATGTTGATATCCAGTCACGTTTGTACATATAAAACACTGGTCTTTTAATCTCGCTCTCTAAATCTGTATGACAATAAATAGATACACTGTTTTCTGCGAATTTCATGTGAAAACACTGATGTTCTTCCTTGTCTGTTTGTTTGCTGAGTTTGTCGCTCCTTGATCAACAAGGGACATTTTGAGATTCGATATCCACTAGATTGGTCGAACCCATGCCCCTCAAATCTTCATCTCATGTTACAAATTCTGATGCTGAGCTAACATCGCCTTTAGCTCCTATTCCACCTTGAATATTCAGAGATCTCGAGAAACACTGTAATAAACTACTTTCTAGAGAATATCTATGTTTATATTCAATCACTACATAAGCATTCGATATCTTACAAGATCGAGTTACTATCAAACAATGCCGATGTTGATGTAAATAATTAAGTTCACGATGAAAATCAAGGTGAACTCTCCTAAACGTGCCATACATTCCTTTATGCACAGACACTGAACTAGTTGTTGTTCCCTAATGGCGTCAACAAAAGAATCCGCTTTTTTGGTGATGTCATTAATAACGAAAACAAATGTGTTTTTCACGTGCGTTTAATTGCTGCAGATAATGAAGCTGGCTGTTTATGTGCTCTGTATAGGTTGTGTAACGCGTATATCTTCAAGTAATCAAATAGTGAAGACGATAGCCAGTCAGCGATCAGATAAAGGTTATATTAACTCTCCGTTCGTCTGTCATGTGTCTACATTGTCATTTAGGTCAACCTGTATCTGTCTGTACGTCTGTAAGTGTAGCAGACAGGTGTGTCCACGCTACCACTAAGCTTATATAAGTCCGTCTGTCTGTCTGTGATATTTCTACATTGCCATTTGAAAACGGGAAAACTGTATGTCTGTTTATCTATACGTCTGCCAGTGGTCTACGTTGTCATATAACTTGAAACACATCTGACACGTTTGTACATTGTCAGTTAGGAAAACCGTTTCTGTCTGTAATAATTCCTAGAAAAAGCATGCTCATTACAGTATACAGTCATTGCCATCCTCTCATTTTCTGTCACCAAAATAGAGCGGGCAGGTAGCTGATGGCTTTTACGTTTAGGTTGAAAAAAGTCGTATGTCATCTTGGCTTCTCAACAACGACACTAACCTAAGGGTGGATTTAAACACGGCCATCTCATCCAACCGTTCAGACACCGTAGGCCATTCCCATTTGATATGAATATCTAACACGAAGTGAAATAAAGAACTAACAATTAATATTGATACCTTAATGGATATCACAACACGGACAGAAATAAAGAACTCACAATTAACATTGATACCTTAATGGATATCACAACACGGACAGAAATAAAGAACTCACAATTAACATCGATACCTTAATGGATATCACAACACGGACAGAAATAAAGAACTCACAATTAACATCGATACCTTAATGGATATCACAACACGGACAGAAATAAAGAACTCACAATTAACATCGATACCTTAATGGATATCACAGCACGGACAGAAATAAAGAACTCACAATTAACATCGATACCTTAATGGATATCGCAACACGGACAGAAATAAAGAACTCACAATTAACATCGATACCTTAATGGATATCGCAACACGGACAGAAATAAAGAACTCACAATTAACATCGATACCTTAATGGATATCGCAACACGGACAGAAATAAAGAACTCACAATTAACATCGATACCTTAATGGATATCGCAACACGGACAGAAATAAAGAACTAACCATTAACATTGATACCTTAATGGATATCACAGCACGGACAGAAATAAAGAATTGATACCTTAATGGATATCACAACACGGACAGAAATAAAGAAGTAACCATTAACATTGATACCTTAATGGATATCACAACACGGACAGAAATAAAGAACTCACAATTAACATCGATACCTTAATGGATATCACAACACGGACAGAAATAAAGAACTCACAATTAACATCGATACCTTAATGGATATCACAACACGGACAGAAATAAAGAACTCACAATTAACATCGATACCTTAATGGATATCGCAACACGGACAGAAATAAAGAACTCACAATTAACATCGATACCTTAATGGATATCGCAACACGGACAGAAATAAAGAACTCACAATTAACATCGATACCTTAATGGATATCGCAACACGGACAGAAATAAAGAACTAACCATTAACATTGATACCTTAATGGATATCACAGCACGGACAGAAATAAAGAATTGATACCTTAATGGATATCACAACACGGACAGAAATAAAGAAGTAACCATTAACATTGATACCTTAATGGATATCACAGCACGGACAGAAATAAAGAATTGATACCTTAATGGATATCACAACACGGACAGAAATAAAGAAATTGATACCTTAATGGATATCACAACACGGACAGAAATAAAGAACTCACAATTAACATTGACACCTTAATGGATATCACAACACGGACAGAAATAAAGAACTCACAATTAGTATTGATACCTTAATTGATAAGATAGACAATTATAAGGTGACGACTGATTTGTCTAAAGACTGATGAGTGATTTTGATGGATACGGCTGAAATCTAGAAGGGGGTACTGGAGGCTTCTTGGAGGGATTTGTGAGACATTTACTCTTTTTATTTTACAATAATAAATGTACAAGCAGTAAACTTTATATACTACTGTCTGATGTTCCAATTATCCTTGACATCGCTAAAATTCATTGTCTATCCTGTGAATGCTAACAATTGCTGTTGTTCTTCTGGCAGCCATGTTCATGTATAATTCACACTCCTCGCTAACATCCTTGTCTTACTAGAAATAGTTATGAGAGTCAACCATTGGCGTGTTATAATGTCAAGGTTATTTTTATTACAATTTGACGTATACAGCCACGACTGTTCAAGGCTGGCATTTTCAACTCTACGTTGTGATGAAGGATATTCTCGTGAAATGACCATCCATGCACGGTACAGTTACAATGTACTAGCATAATTCAACGTTAGTTTTGTCACAAGGACACTTCTCAGGAACAATAGAATTTTGCCTACAAACCGATTTAAACTTAATTTGGTGTTATTTATAGCATCTTGAGGAACAATTCATGAAATGGGTTACAAAAGTTCCCTTGGGCATGCGATGCATGTATGACATATTTAGCGCCGCGAACTACAGCTGTAACACAGGGCTCACTATTTCGTTAAAAAACTGTCAAAACAATAGTGACCACTATCCAAATGAACTATTTTTGAACGGGTAGAAACTGCAGTAAATTATGAACATGTAACAAAATTGCAAAATAAAAATGTTATACAATTTTGGGCTAATTTTTAATGTCCACTGCTATAAGTTGATATGTATCCCATTACCTTTACCAGATAAATGGTCAGGGACTGTTTGTAACGCGTGTTAGAATTAACAATGTACCGATGAAATCGGGTCGCTTCACTTTAAGCATGTAAAAAATCAGAACAACTCGAAAATATGATTTTAATGTGGCCATACATTAGCGCAAATTGGCGCCCACTTGGGGAGAATAGAGATGATGGGGCTGATAGTCCCCTTCACAGACAATACAGATACAGTGTTGTAACGGTATTTGAACCGATAAGTCAGTGTAATGGTACTCCAGTGAATTTCAATAAGACAGTGTACTTTTGGTACTTTTCATAGTATTGATACTACCAGTGTACACTTAACTGTTGTAGTAATTTCAATAGTTTTACTGGAAAATTACTGTGAACATTTACGAATTAACACGTAATTTTACTGTTTGCACTTCTTAAGTTTGGAGAGAAGTTATTTCATACCAACTTTTTCTTGCAGTTATGAATTATCTAGAGTGTAATATGTTTATATTCTATGTATGAACTATGTTAGCATTAAACCATTCTGTGTTGTTTAGATGACTCCGAGTCTTTTTGAACATATGTATGCATGAGGAAAAACATATTTTTTATCTTTTTTTTTCTCTTAAACAGTTTATGTATTTATGTATTTATGCTGCATTATCAAAGCACCGGTTGATATAAAGCTGTACAACAATGTCACAATACACTCTACTGAGGATTACTGGGTTTGGTGTCTATGGCATAGAAACGTATTTAAATGTATACACATATATATTTCAGTCATCACCCACCACCATCTGCACCTATATACATCACATATATCATCAGCATGCACGATGCAATACATATCGATAGGTATCAATCCCCTTATTCGTCCAGCCCCCTGGGAATACACTGACATCCTTGCTGTCTATGATGAAGGGAAGCCAAAGGGGAAATCACTGTGTTATCGTGGCGACAGCAAACCAGGAAGACATCGCCCCAATTCGAATCCCACATTAAAGTGAGAGGTCCGCAGTTCACTTTTGACTGCATTCGAGGTATGATTAACGTCATAATGTCATAAATAAGACAAATGTGTTATATGTACGTTCTCGCTACAACCATTTTTAAATAAAGACGATGTCGCCGCATGACTGGGCCACAGACTGGCGTTTTTATAGTGCTATCATACTGAACTATCACCACCTGGACACGATGCATCGCACCCCGATTGGTCACACTAAATGTTAACCATTCAACCGATGGATGCATCCTATGCAATGCTAAGTGATCAGCAAAGATCATGGAGATTCATTTTATAGCTGATGCATACACATCTGGATAACAGTTACAATAAATAGTTCTACCCATTTAGCTTACTGAATGTATTCACGAAACATGGTAGTCAGGTATTGATGGCTTTATATTTCATTCTCAAGAGAATGGAACAACCCTCGGGGCTATCGGTATTCAAGAATAGCTACAGTACATATCCAGATGAATTGTTAGAAGTCTGTAACACGGAACATTCGCTCGATGTCTTTATTACCAACTAATTCACCGCTACAAACACAGACATGTTATCTCCGAAAGTTAAAGTACACACGGCATGTGGCGAATTTCTCAAATTAAAGGAAAGTAGAATATTTAAGTTGGAAGGAGCCTTCGTCGTCTGAATAAAACACTATATCTTGTCTTGTTTTCTTCTCTGTTTACCATTCACTGAATATATTTATGTTTTCATACAATTTTAATTCCTGTTGTACTGTAAAAGTTAACGCATGAAATAATTGTTACACAATACATGTGTAATGACTCTAAAAAATAAAGTGATAGTTCTTCTGCGTGAAAATGTCAAATAATACATTATGATGTTGATGAAATCATACAACTGTGAATGATGGTTTCTTAATATTTGTCTACTCGTTCCTCCCACACCAGATTCTTGCTGTGATCCATTCTAACGTAATCTCGTAAAATCTGGCACGGTATCGGGACCCATGTTTCTGTATACCAGCCCTGTTCGTATCGTATGGTCTATAAAATATCTGAGGATCAGTCTTTAGATCTAACTTAACTTCTGTTTTATTACACAGCTTGCAGATTTTCAGCTGGGTTTTTTTTTTTTTTTTTTTTTTCAAATATTTAAAGTTTTATCATGTACATGTATTACAGGGAAGGGCTCCCAGACATCAGAAGTGATAAGATTGTAGAAATTCCTTGTCTATCTCCACAACAGAAAAAATATCTCGTAAAAATTCCTTCTGTTTTACTAATATTAAACAACTTTTTAAAATAATGAAATAATCTCTCATGTTATCTTTACATTTAGTATTCACGTGGATTTGTTCCAATATTTAAGTTTGTGTAGTACACTCAAGATTAAATACAGAATGCAGGAACACAAAAAATATATTAAGTCAGTTTATAGAGTAAACAGTTATACAAACAGTACACATCCATTCATCATGCCTACATGTCTGGTTGTATCAAGCTTCTTCATTTTACAGTTAAATATCGTTAACTAGTCTTTTAACATCTGACTTCGTCTGATGGTTCACATGTCAAAAGTAAAGAGAAAAAATCGACAGACAAATATTGCGAACTGTCCGTTTCCTGTTTATAGAAATTTCTTTCAATATAGGAAGCTGAACAAAACAGAATGTTATTACCATCTAAACCTCTTAAATATAAAAAAATATACACAACGCATAATTGTTCCTGACAATTTTCATTTTCTTCAGAAAAAAATACATACATTCACAAAAGTTCAATATCAGGAACAGTTACACAGAAGCTTGCTACAACGGACATTTTTTTCGAACTATTTTTTGTATATTGTGAATACGAGACTTTTCCTGATAACGTTGCACTACTTCCATAAAATCGCATATATTCAGCAATCATGCATACTATATTAAGATATGTACATCGTTACAAATATGTGTACGTCTGACGATTTTCATATTTCCGATGTTTGCCGGAACAAGAGACATGTTGATATTATCATTAACAGACATTCAACATGGGATTTTAAACAGTGGTGAGACACACATGGCACAGGGGAGTTAATTTATGTGATGAATGAGAAATTATTTCAGTATGCAAGGATGAATCGTTCATGCCAACAAGCTGTCGTGTTAGTGTTGAAATGAGGGGATGACAGTCACAACTGCTATTTCTCTACAAAAGTGGTAGAAAAATGATAGAGTGTGTTGCATTTTACATAAAGTGTATCAACTTCATGAACCTCAAAATGTTATTACCACTGATGGTTTGCTCGACAAAAATAAACAGAATTATTTCTCACACAGGTTTTTGTTTGTCAAAATTTCATTATCACCAACAAGAGACCTTGAAAGGTTTGTGAGTATGGCAGTGAAACACATGCATAACGCGGCACAAACAAAATTGGTTGAACACCAGAAATAATATCATACTTGACTGCAGAGGGCGCGCGAGTGGTGAAGACCGTGGTCGGAATCGTTGGAGGAATTGTCTTGTGATGACGTCATGGAATAATTTGCAGAATCTCTCCGAGAAATATCAGATTTCCCGCTACTTAAAGTTTGAACAGGTTTGGGATAAAGATGGTTTGAGTTATCTTTTGGAACAATGTCTGGCTGTTTCTCACCGCCTATTTCGTTATAGTCTTTGTCATTTAAAAGCTTGACTTTGACTTCGTTGTTGGTACTTGGGTCCTTCAGATCCCTAATAGTCAGCCTAGAATCCTTAGGGTGAACCTTGTCTGCCGATTTGAACCGACTCTGTTTATCCAGTTTGTCACGTTGTTCGGCTGTGTCGATATTTGACGGTTTGTAATTAATCACTACTGGGGGCTGGCGTACTCCGTCCCCACTGCTCTGAGGCCGTGGAGGTTTATTGCTAGTACTTTGTAATTTTGTTTCTGATTCTGAACCCGACGCAGACGTTAAAACAATTTCGTGATTCTGTGAATCAGGATTAACTTTTTTTGCTGTTTCTAAGAGCGGTTCCTTGAAATCCTCTCTCTGTTTAGAATGCTGAAACCTTGGTAAACTAGAACTTTTATTGTTAGCGGGTGACACCGCTCGGCAGGTATCTATGTCGGACAAACTCCGACGGAAAGGAGAAACCATCCCCTTTCTACTTCCTGCATGCACGTCGGCTGTAACATTAACACGTGTGTCTCCTTCGTGTGGTGACTGACAGCGAAGCAGGTTGTCACTCGACCGCCGGACGGTTTCGTGAAATGTCACACGTTGGGCACCGCTACGTCTATTTCGCGAGCGTCTCATTATCACACTATTGCTGTCATCATCACATGCATCCGGGTTCTCACTTACAGTTGGCAGGGAGAGTTCGAATCGCTCTTCTTCCTCTGAAGGGGCTGTCTCGAATTCATCGAATCCACTCTCACTTGCGGTAATGTCACAACTTGGAATCGAACTCGGTCGCTTTCCACGTGTCATTTGGATGTCTTTCAGTTCAATAGAACCAATAGAAATGGATGGCGTTCTTAACAAACTGTCACTCTTTATAACAAATATCGGTTCGCCTACATTTGCGTAATCTAGTATTCGGAACAGCCATTGTTCCTTTATTGTAAGTAGCGTCCACAAGCAAATCCAGCATATCATATATGCTACATCAATAACGACACACGTCAGAACGAGGTTGTCACTCGTGAGCCTGTAGATTGAAACCAGGTCATAAAGGATTGGACCCTTAAATATTGCAAGAAGTACCAGGGTGCCGACTGCACATGAATGAGACACATACCCGTTACAGGGACCTTTGTAGTTCCGCTTATGTCGAACGTACTTTTCGGGATTGTGTTTCCGGTCGACTAGTCGGAATTTTTCATGAAAATGATAGGAGCCGTAGTAGAAGACGGTAATTGTTGACAGAAGGACAATGGTCCCGCCAAACAAGTACAGGACTAACGTACCGCCTGGACCTAGAGCCAACGATAGGTTATGGTTGTAAATAGAATAATTTATTGTCACTTTGTAAAGTATAGAAAACCCTGTGTAGGCGAAAATTGATTCCACGCTCATGAAAAGCAACTGAAAAGCGAATGTGAATGAAAGAGCTTTGTTTGTATACCAGAATACAGCGGCATATCGAACGGTGAAAGCAACAAGCGCCGATACGAAGAAGACGAATTCCGGTGACATCACTGAATCTCCAAACGTATAGATGATGCCGACATTAAAAGCGGACGCATTACTTTTCACAGTATTATTCATTCGAGCATTGAAGTCGCTCCATCCTCTTCGTTCTTCTGGAAACAGGAAATCGATGTTTGATGCCCAGATATTACCTGCAAATATAGAGAAAAGGTTGTGAAAATAAATAATTTAATTTTGATTTAACAAATTTGTCTACTCCATAAATAAAAACATGGCGTGATACCTTTGTAACTATAGTCACGATAATTCCGATTGAATGCTTAATTTATCATATTGCACTATATGCAATATTATACTAAAACATGAGGACTCTCTCCTAATCTTAAACCAAAAATATTAAGAAAAGACCAAATTTGTATCAAACGAAATTGACTCGTAAATCTTCATTTAAAACTTTTAAAACTTTAAAACCTCGAATTTCGTAAAAACGATCAACTGGATATAACCACCTATTTATATCACAGAAAATTCATTATGTTTAATTTCTATTTTTTAATATCTATAAATCGTTGTCATTCATAATCGTGTGAAAGTCTTTTTTACACAAAAACAATTATTTGACTTTTGTCTTAAACGTTTTGAATGTTGTAACAAGTCTAAAATTTTTGTCACAAGATCTTGGTAGAAATGGCGTCATGTGCCTCGCCATACATAAAACACACAAAAAAGGTGTTGAGAGCGTGAGATTTTTACGATAAATCACATTATCAGATGACTTGACGACAACGAAGTGAGAATGCGGGAAGCCAGCATTTCAGTAACAACTGACAATAAAGGGCGATGTGATTCACCGACAAACATCGCCACTGCACCAATTACTGTACAATGTATAGTTTCTAAAGCATTTTTTCGTGCTCCATTCACTGTGGGCTTAAATCATACTGTCAGTATTTCATTAACAATCTAACAGGAATGTTCTCATGGAAAGATATTTTAACTGTGCCCGGTAGATATGGTTTTATTGGTTTACCCAGAACATGTGTTTAGAGCCTACAGGACATATCATTGGTCAAATCACAAAAACAGATACACCAGGGCGGTCAGTGGAAGGCATACACAATGAATATGGTGTTTCCGTGTAAGCACACATTTCATTTAATTTTTTTTAATCTATCTCGTTACATAGAATGACTTTTTATAGAAAACAAAGTAAAATGATAAATATAATGTGTTTAAGATTAGCTTGGTTGATCTATTTTTAGAAATGTAAGTAATACACATTAAATGTTACAGATGTCAGGAATCCTAGGTAGCGACAACTATTGGGATTGAAATCCATTTGAAATAGACAGATATCATAATACATCGCCGTTATATGTAAGGGTCGATGAAGGCACTTAGCTAAAAAAAACAGAAAAAAATATTTGAACAAGGAAGAAAAAACATTTCATCGCAGTAAAAACACAGTGTATTTAGGTTGCCTAGGACGAGGATAATGGTGATTCCCTTCTATAATCCATCTGAAAACACCGACTAAAAAGATTTCGGGCAGCTAATAGAATTCCCCCAAATGCCGTTGTTGGTCTTAATCAAACAATATCCGAGGACAATGAGGGAGAGAGGGGCTAACTGCGTTTAAGCCACTGTCTAGACGTGTATCTATCATTTGATTTGTGTTTTAACAATGTGCAAAGCGAAACTAACTCCACAATCATGCCTATTTATCGGAGATGATCACAGCAAAGAGAATAGGACGGCTCTACAGTAAAATTCTGCTTCAGTCAGTGGTAGTTTCGTACGAAGCCTGGGGTCGCTTGTCCGTCCCATTATGGATCACTAACCATTGCCCTAGTGTCGTGAGTGACAATTTCAATGCGGAGCTCTGAAGAGATAAACAATTTATCTAATCTACACCAAATGCGAAACCATCTTTAAGCTTTATCAATCGCTCTTGCTGGCCCGGGCGGAAGTGGTTTTACTGTATGGCGAAACCGGAGTACTGGAGAGAACCGGAGTGCCGGTTATAGAAACAGCAAAAAGTCCAGTAGTGTCGTTAACTGTGTACTGGGCGGACATTAGTTTTTTTCGTAAACAAATCATTAACTATTGACCACTGTGTTAGTCTGATACGTTCTAAAAATGGCGAGAAAACCGAAGACATCTTTTTGGCAGGATTTCTGTCAGTATGTAGTCAGTATGATGGACATTTCAAACAGGTGGATAGGTGGCTTCAAATAATTCATGGTTACATAAACAAATCTGCTGACGATTCAAAATAATAGAAGGCCTGACTCATTTTTTCCGAAGGATATGTTTAAACAAAATCTCCTCCAAGACAAATTAAAACAACATAAACACCCCGCGACATTGCCTGCGTGTTTTAGATCTAACGCTCAGCGTGTCATATACCGCGGTCAAATCGAGCGCAAGTTGCTTGTACTAAGACAATTAACTGCCACGTGCTGCGTCTGTGTTTACATAAGTAAGGTTTATATCTACGTTACATGACCACGGCTGTCTGTTTGGCATGGTGTATTGCCGATCAAATAATCTTAGGCACTTGATGCCTTTCTTTAGTATCTCTTTTCTCACTATTATGTATTACATTGTGCTTACCTATGCAATAGAATATAGAACTCTCAACACAGCTAGGCTGGTGGTAAACTGCTTTGTGGTTTATTTACTTACTCTACGACAGGGCTCATTGATGACAAACGATGGCACATGTACGTTTCGGTGACAGTATTGGTAGAATACCCCCGCCCCATCCCCCCCCCCCACCCCATCCCCCACCCCAAGTTGTTGACGAACTCCGAAGTATTTTTGATAGATATATATTACAAGAGAGGCAGAACATCGATAACTACCACATTCACTTCAGCACCAGTCTAGACTTAAATACTATTTTTCTCAAATGATCATTACTCTTCAAGGGCCTAAACGATTATTGTGGTTTGTTTCCATTTAATTATTTTATCTTAATTGTTTAACACTAATAATTTAGTATTTACAATGTACTAGCACAGAAATCTATCTCGATAATGTAAACACCCCAATCAGTCCGGAAGTGTTATTACACCGCTCTTTTAAGCTAAATCTTCTGGAAATATACATGTTATACATGTAATAGTTTACAAAAGACACACTATAGAATTAGATACAGTTGATTCAAACAATGAATTAACATGTATCAAAAAGCTGTTTCGTCCTTCTAGGACTCGTCAGTGATGCTAGGGGCCTAAATATTTAACCCAGCAGGTGACTGAGGAAAATCCAAAGTGATCGAACGAAATGTCAAAATTTCGATAGGGTGTTGCACGTGTCCCATAATTTAATAGATTTTGTGATTTTCATTATCTGATGATTTTAAAGGGACATCAATTGCATGCTGATATCCTGAAGTACTACTTTTAGAATGAATTAAAACGTGGCATGCAGGTAACGGCAAAGAGACTAAAACTCTTGAAGATAACATAAAAGACACACAAATGAAAAAGAAAATTTGATAATCGAAGACAATAATGAATTTGATTGCATAATACAACTGTTTCGTCATTCTAGGACTCTTTAACGATACCAAGGGCATACATTTAAAACGTAGGAGGCAAATAGGAGAACGAGCCATATGTCAAAATCTACGTAATATCCAGTCTTGATCATATACATAAATAACCCTTTTATTAGACAATACCACATACTACAAATAAAAACACTAAAACACGTGGTGTATGAGCTGATACATGTGTGTAAGGTTTTTACGAGATGCGCTTAAATCGATAGTGCATCCCGGATACACAAGTACTCCTAATGAAGCCTTCGTGCCATATCTGAAACTCGACTTCAAATTAAGCCGATATCTGTCGATTGTAATCGTGTAAAGTTAATGGAATTACTTGAGGATTAAATACTGTATTGGGGTTTAATCTTCATCACAATCTGATTACATTGAATTTTCCCATCATTAACTCTCACTTTGAAAGCTGCACTCCGTTTTTTTCTTGAATTTTCCCATCATAAACTCTGACTAACTGTTGCGCTCAATTTTAGTGTTGTCGAAATGGGGCGATCTTTATAAATTGTACGGAACGCATTTCACTGGTTGGCATCACTGATCAATTAATACTTAGTCTAATTCATTCCAAGTAATTGCTTCCTTCAACGGTAAAAGAAGGCCTTCCGGGAAACAGTTTTCTCGTTAACCATTAAAATGTATATCTAAAACAATCTATATACCAATACCCAGCCTGATAATGGATAAATACTGTTTTAAAGTAAATTTTAAAAAAATGCCTATTCTGTGGCTATGTCATAAAGGTCATGCGATACATAATATATCTATAACGGCACGTGCACGGATATCGTATGAACCAAAGGTATCAATAAGAATTTCGAGATGGATTATGTTCCACTTTCAATTTAAATCATTTGTACTTTATATATCTATATAAGAGCAATTTTATAACTTTTTCAGTTCATCATATTCCATATATGATTTTCAGCAATTTTATTTAGTTTGATATACTCTCCATCACTACTACACGTACACGAGCCTTGATGTCTGTATTGGTCAGTCATATCCAGTTCACATATTATTTCGGATCATGTTAAATTCTGTCTTGTTGAGCCCATCATGCACACTTGGCACGTGAATCATAGTAGATTAAGTATACATTAAAATTACAAAGGGCATATCCTTCATCACATCAAACCTTTTCCCCTGTCACTTCAAACCTATTCCTTTGATAATTCCAGCCTATTCCTTTGTCACACTAAACCTATTCCTTTTTCACACAAGTAATCATGTAATCATGTATGTTGTCAAATAAAGCCTATCATATTGTTACTAACGGTCCAATCTTGTCGTATCGATTCTCCTTTCATACACCTCTTTCATTCAGTAAGTAGATTCGCTCTAAATGTTGCATAGGTATCACTGATTGTATCATATGTATCACTGATTGTATCACTGACTGTACCATAGGTATCACAGATTGTACCATAGGTATCACTGATTGTACTATAGGTATCACTGACTGTATAACTGATTGTACCATAGGTATCACAGATTGTACCATAGGTATCACTGATTGTATCATAGGTATCACTGACTGTATCACTGATTGTACCATAGGTATCACTGACTGTATCACTGATTGTACCATAGGTATCACTGGCTGTATCACAGATTGTACCATAGGTATCACTGATTGTACCATAGGTATCACTGACTGTATAACTGATTGTACCATAGGTATCACAGATTGTACCATAGGTATCACTGATTGTATCACTGATTGTACCATAGGTATCACTGATTGTACCATAGGTATCACTGATTGTACCATCACTGATTGTATCACTGATAGGTATCACTGACTGTATATCACTGACTGATTGTACCATAGGTATCACTGGCTGTATATCACAGATTGTACCATAGGTATCACTGATTGTATCACTGATTGTACCATAGGTATCACTGACTGTATAACTGATTGTATCAAAGGTATTTCTGATTGTATCACTGATTGTACCATAGGTATCACTGATTGTACCATAGGTATCACTGATTGTACCATAGGTATCACTGATTGTATCACTGATTGTACCATAGGTATCACTGATTGTACCATAGGTATCACTGATTGTATCACTGATTGTACCATAGGTATCACTGATTGTATCACTGATTGTACCATAGGTATCACTGATTGTATCACTGATTGTACCATAGGTATCACTGATTGTATCACTGATTGTACCATAGGTATCACTGATTGTATCACTGATTGTATCACTGATTGTATCACTGATTGTACCATAGGTATCACTGATTGTATCACTGATTGTACCATAGGTATCACTGATTGTATCACTGATTGTACCATAGGTATCACTGACTGTATAACTGATTGTACTATAGGTATCACTGATTGTATCACTGATTGTACCATAGGTATCAATGATTTTACCACAGATATCACTGATTGTACCATAGGTATCACAGATTGTACCATAGGTATCACTGATTGTACCACTGATTGTACCATAGGTATCACTGATTGTACCATAGATATCACTGATTGTATCATATGTAACACTGATTGTATCACTGATTGTATCATAGGTATTATTGATTGTATCACTGATTGTACCATAGGTATCACTGATTGTACCATAGATATCACTGATTGTATCACTGATTGTACCATAGGTATCACTGATTGTACCATAGATATCACTGATTGTATCACTGATTGTACCATAGGTATCACTGATTGTACCATATATATCGCTGCTGTCACCACTGCTTCTCAGACTGGAACATTCTTCTCTTCGTGTTTTTTCTCACGGAACTTGTATACCTGAGTAAAACTAACAAACATGGACAAGTATTCACGCCGGAGACTATGATATCGTTTTGTCTGTTAATTTACAGTAAATCGGTATGTTGATGATCTAAGTTGCAACGAAAACCATTTTAAAACAATTTCAGTGAAGGCCAGTACTCCAAGGAATCTGATTTTTGCGTTGCAGGATGGCACGATAAACCTATTGAAATATGGAGAGGATAATTTGAGAAATAATTGTTTACATGGTCTTTTTGTCAACTCTTACATTTGTAATGATACATTTTGATGTAATATCTCTTACCAATTGATCATCAAAAATTAGTTTTACCTTAACTATGAATTGACGTTGGCGACTTGATGAATCAAAAAACATATCCTATTTTCTTACTTTTTAAGGACAATTTAACTAATTTTGTCAATGCTTGCCAATCATTTTTCCTTTCGAAAAATCGCTACAATTCTGACCGGCTTGATATTTTAAGATGTATGCAGTATTTCTTAATAACTTGGTACATTCCTACACACAAGTATGTCCCACTGGTGAGACAGGTGTAACGCCATTCACTATTACAGACACGCAATCAGAAGCCAAGCCCCGTGTAATTGCCACGCTAGTTACAAAACACTTGGAGTAGAGAGAACCAAGCACGCCCCGACGCCAGATACAGTTAGGAAAGCATGCCAATACCTTGTTTAGCAGAGACAACATCTTTCATAATACAGATAAATAGGCCTCGTTTTATCATGACTTGCCTCCCTGTCCAGCCATCTGTTCTTCCTTGTTTTCTGTACTGCCCATTTACATTCATATTCTAGTGTGCCTAGCTCGCTGTGATAGTGAAATCACAACAGTGCATCAACGTCATAACTTACAATTTTCATATTTTTTACGGTGTTAAAAATTGCGATCGTCTATCTTTGCATGTAATATGATTTATGCGTTAATTATGTTATTTTTTTGGAGTTTATTACTCTTAATTGCTTTCTCCTAAGATGTTCAGCTCTCTGTAATGCCTCACCGTAAACTTGATGATACATCCGACGTAATTCAATATTGTACAAGGCAAAAGTACAGTAATTTTCTGAAACATGAAAAAAGACGTACCTTATATTTTTACATGACGATATATGTCTATAATTGACATGGATTGGCAGAGTGTGTTCTGATAATATCATCATTACATATATGGCTAGGTTCTAAATATGAGTTCTGATTCTTGGATTATTTATACACATGATAAATAATCCTATTTGTTAACTCATCTTGACCAAACAAGCAGGTAAGAAACATGATATAACTGACCAAATGACCACCGTGCGCGCCGACAATAGTAATGCTAAATCATTTCTACACTGCATGCGAGTGCTCGCGAGTAGAGACGAATTTTGGAACGCTCACCATGGGTCATTTTCATGCTTCATTCTTAAAACTGGAAATCTGCAATGCATTTACTTGATCATCGTCTCAGCAGGTGTTCAGTGTGCCTGCATTATACAGCATGTAATTGTACCCGTTTCTGTGTTCCTGCGATTTCCACAATTTGACGTTATTCTGCAGAAACGAAAACATGACAGTTACTCAAAAATGGTTGAGTTTTTTTTTTTAATCCAAACCATCTTTGATTAAAATGTATACAGCCGTCGGAGTTCTGAATCAGACACGCCAGGCCTCACTGTGGCGCCTTGTGCACTGTCACAGAAAATAACACTTTGGGGTGAAGGGTATGTTACGGTTCCTGTTCCGCTATAATGACGGTCAACTCATATCACGTCATGTGCCAATCATTGTCAATTTTGAGGATTATATTTTACATGTTGTGTGTCAGATGATGGTTGCAATAAGCCCTTAACATAACAGAACCGCTCGTCAGGATAAATACTGGCAGACCACAAAATGTAGCCGAGACGAAGGAACACGTGCTCCAGGATTACCAGGAAAACCCTACATCAAAGCCTGGACACGGGTGTACATAGTTGACGGTATCTCGGGCACAGAGTTCTCGTGTTAACGGAATGTTTACAGGGCCGTGTTACTTTGATCAGGACAGGTCGGCTAATCTACTGTAACATATCTACACTATACAACACATCTGATTCACAAGCATGTGTTTATGTTGATAAGGAAAGACACTATCACAATAAGACTGATCTAATTATCCGACTCCAAATTATTATTGCCCTTCCAATAACCTGTTTCATATATCTTCTTCATTCGCACACGCTTGCATGATGAATTTTGGTAGAGCCAAAAACAAGCATGCCATCGAAATGTAGTGTTATACAATAAATCATATCCAGGTTTCTGTTCCTACGGTCACGTGGTGCCTACCCGAAATAATTACGTACTACATGTAGCTACACCGTATATTCATCCAAACAGTTTCGCCTCTCTATTGAAATTCATCAAATGTCACTGAACGTTCAACAAATATGTATACATGTTACAGTTCATAAGATTTTTGTTCATTTTTTTCTTTTTCAACATGTATTGGATTTTTTTTTACAATTTCTAAACTCCATATTTCAAAGAAAGACATGATATATGTACACCATTAAGACATGTTACCGAGTTGAAAATTTACGTGGAAACAATAAAAAAATCTATAACATATCTCGATATATATTTCTGTCCTATCGTTAATGGACTATAGTGTTTATATACAAAATGCTGCTCGTTCAAAGATTCCCTTTTTTTCAAATCTTATGTAGGAGTTTAAAGACATTGTAACAACAAGGGCCATACGGAACTGGAAGTCGAGGAAGTCATCAACAGGAGGAAGATAGGGGAGACAGGATCTAAGGCAGGAGATGGGCATATAGATCGCAACTGTTAGAAAGAAGCAATGTTTTGATTCTGAAGGGAAACTACAACAGGCGCCTTCTACGATACACCTGACCTGCAACACAACAGATGAATTATTATTCTATCTAATGTCTTCCTATATCTAACAAGCTACCAGTAGTTCGACAGGGATACACATTTATCACCCTTTTACGACATGTGTTACAGCAGGCCAGTTTATGTATAGGTTGCTATTTTAACGGGGAGAGAGTCTACAAAGTAAGTGCATGGAAAAATAAATGATAGAAAAACTTGTTGACCGTTTCATCATTTCGTTATGTAATACCTTCTAGATAAAACCACGAAATCTGAACTATCAAAAACAGCAGCCTTTCCCTGCAGCGCCAGTTCTAGGTCCTGAAGGAAAACATGACTGACAGAAAGGGTTAACTGAGGCCGGAACATTAAGAGTTAGAAAGCATCCGTTACACAATCGTTATATATAATACTTAATCACCGGTTATATGTAATTCTAACATCACTGGTTATCTATAATTCTTACATCACCGGTTATATGTAATTTTAACATCACCGGTTATATACAATTCTATTATCATCAGTTATATATAATTCTAACATCACCGGATAAATATAATACTTACATCACCAGTTGTATATAATTCTAACATCATCCGTTTATATATAATTCTGACAGAACTGGTGAAATCGTGTGTTTTTCAAAAGAGACATTTAGCTTACATGAACGTCAGTATCTAGGGAAACATCCAGTTATCTAAGTATTGAATCTACTTCGGAACCAAACAAATTAATCTAACTCTAGTTTCTCAGTAAATCGTGTACATGACTTCAACCGAAATCTACATTTCAGAGATGTAAACAAATGCCTAGAGGATAGTGCTTCATCGGTTCTACGCGTGCGAAGAGGATGTCAATATTCGCTATGAATTTGATTCTTAAAGAGCCACTTTCAAAACAGACAATTTTGTAACAAAATCGATCAGACACAGAAGAATATGACAAGATCGAATGTTACATTTGATACATTATGGGTAGTGAAATTTTCTGAAATTATCATTGAAGTATTGAAGATTCCATAACAAAAGAAACACTGGCGCTTATTGCCCTAAACTTTCTTATTGTCCGTTCTTTCAATAAAAAACGCACCAATACATAGAAAGTTTCCTCCTAAAAGGAAACAGTATTTACGTACAGATGTTAATAGTACACGGGAGAGTGCGCCAATCTCTACTATACATGGTTAACGGCTCGGTATCAGTGTGATGCTCGTCAAAATATGAAGTCGAGACACAGTGCTAGTGTAATATCAGCATGTTTTTGTCTATAGGACATTTCATCGGTGTGGTTTGTAATGCTCTTAATCTCGCACTATGTAGTTATATTATGTTCCACAGAACACGTATTATAAGGTATTCGCAAGATCAGAGAACAGATTTTACACAAAGCCATTAGTGGGTTGTTCAGATGAAAAATTGTACACACGCTGTTCTGAAAGGTATTAAGTTGTTCCCCAGATGGATCATTCGTCGTATATTTAAGAAATAAATAAATCCTGTCGTTGCTAACACGACATACATATTTTACTGTTCTGATAAGGTGACGCCACACGTCTCGTTACACTATAGATATTGGAATGGCAAAGACATGAAAACTGGGATAGCCATCTCAAGAAGATAGCGCTTTTATACGCCTTCAATTTCCGAGGAGAATGGGGTAAATCTTAAAAAAAAAAAAAAATAGGTAGAATGGTGCAAAAACAATATCTGTCGTCATAATTTCTAATTATGGCATGGCATGGCAGTCCTATTCATGTATATAAGGGAACGGTGTTCCATTACTTGGCACAAATTTGCTGTTTCACATGTGAGCATGTCTGCTGAGATTAATCCCTGTGAAGAGTGATTTAGGTAAAGGGAAATGGTATTGACAGTCAATATGTTAGGATAATATAAGTGATACTAGACCCATAGCTTTATTTACACACATTGTTACAACATTTATGTCTTCTGGCATCAAAACTCTGGATGAACATGATAATACGCATTCATTATATGTATATTGATATCCGCAATCTTAGCTTTTATATATATTAGCGAAGGCTGCAAGTCCAGGACATTTTTGTGCCTTTTGGTGATAAGGATTTTTTTTTCAGCAAAAAGATACTTTAAGGTCAGCTGCACATAAAATGCTATGCAATACGTTGAATTTCGTGTGGAGTCTAAGAAAATTTGGGTTCAGAATCCAAGATAGTGAATGTAACATAGAAATTTTGTTAAAAGTGTTTCAGTGGAAATGGTATTTTTTGTGTTCACTGCTAATAAGTATCAGGTTTTAAGAATCAAATTGAATGACGTCGATGACGCAGATGATGCTTACCATTCCTAAATACCCGTTCATGTTCTACTTGTATTTTTAACGGTCCGCTTACGCTTCTGACTTTTGCTTATAATTCATGTCTGTTTTATCAAGTTTTAGTTTGAATCACTATTTTTTGACAAGTTTGTTTTCTTTTAAGGTATAAAGCCATGAATCGACCGGTGGTGACGTTAACCAGATCTTTGAGATTTGGGATGCTGTATAGGAGCTTGAATTCCAAAATAATGCTTTCAGCAAGATCTATTTTTATCCCTAGAAGTGATAACTTAAGTAGATTTATATATTTCCTGCTAAAGATCGAAGTGTTGAGAGGCTGAGTATACAACGTGTACGCATGTGTTTCCTGTAAAGTTGTTTTGAAGAATTCGCCTTTTTCCACGATACATCGTCTGAGTCTGCCGCCATACTATAACTACATGTACAATGGTCGACGTTATATGGTGTAATCACAATGTTACGACTTAAACTGAATTCAAGTTGTCCTACTTCTGTCGACATTATGGTAATCAATGAACTAGTTAAAAACTCATCAAACCTGTCTACTCAATAGAGTCATAGTTAATAACAACATACGTTTGTATATCAACTTGTCTACCCAATAT